CCCCCCCCCCCCCCCCAAAAAAAAAAAATACAAAAAGATCAAAGAGAAATTGAAGAAATTTTTTAGTGGGGGTGGGGACAAAAAAGTGGTCTTATGGGAGATGTGCAAATGCCAAATTTAGCGACAATATCCCCTTTTGTTGGCAGGCATGGACACGAGATCCGAGAATTCACTACAACAAACAACGACACATCCAACAACGTCGATTCTGGCAAAATCGCTCGTAAATACTAAGCAAATCTGAAAGGAATTTTTTGTTCTCAAGCAAAAGGCGAAAAGAATTTAACACCTAACCATGGGCCACAAAAGTCACGGGAATTTTTGCACCATAAAATTGCCAACGCCCTATTAATGAATACAAACCATAACAATGGTCTTTGTGTTTTGCTCCCACACCATTCTCCAGAAGTCGTCAACAGTCTCTGGGAGGGGTCCCTGAGTAGCGATATAAGCCCTCTTTTTTCTATAACCATCAAGATAGTTCGCGTTGATGTAGTCTGACCCAGGTACCCCCTGTAACGGCGTCAGACAAACTCGGCTATGGTCATAGGCAACAATATTATTGTAACGGTTCTTGAATCTGTTCTCTTGCGCTAGCGTGGCATTCCAAGTAAAGTCCATAGAGGGACGAAGAGCACTGTATTCTTGAGAGAACAACAGGTCGCCATTTGCGTGGAGGCGACGCACGTGACCTTCGAACTCCTCCACGGGTATGGATTCTCCAGGGACATAGTTGGGGTTGTCTGTGAATCAAGATGACCTTTGATGTTAACTTTAGCCGGTTAAACCGTAAGGGCTTAAACAGGATTAACCAGAAAGGGACTTAAAAATTGTCCTTATTCGCTAATTACCTGTTAGAAACCGCGGGTACTTTTCATGAGAGGCTCACTCTTATGAAGACCCGTTTGAGTAGATCTAACGTCGACAAATAAAAGAAAGTTGCATGATACATGAGATAATGCCTAAGCTCCGAGGACTTCGTATAAATAATGACCGAGCGCGTAGCATAAGGTATTATCCGAGCAAAGACGATTATCTGATTGAACGCATCTTTCTCTGTCTTAGAACGAACAGGTCATTGCTGTGATCACTAAGATCCAATAATGACTTGCTCTTCCATTTATTAAAAATACTGTTAAAAAAGTAAATAAAATGAAATAAACTAAAAAGGTGAATTATGATGAGTGCTCGAACGAACCCGCCCAACTCCCAACTAACCATAAGTCCACCATGTTGCATGAGAAGTAAACGAATTATGGGCCACTGAACAGCTGGACAAGGCCCAGGACAATTGTACGATAACGTCATTTTACAGTAACTACCAAAATCCTTCAGTCTGTTGTTTTCTTGTGCAAATTAAGCCGCTATTGTTTCTTTACAGTCAAGGCAGGTCAAGCGTACCCCTATTAGATTCTATTAATGAATTGATATTTGAAAAATAAATCCAGTAGTCGTTCCCGTAACTAGTGTCTAATTCAAATCGACATTGCTGCACTTGTAATAAGCAGTGACTATTTTATGAGAACTTCCCCGTAACTGGTCAGATTGAAAATCTTGGAATGGTTAAAATTGCTTCGAGGACATTTACATCAAATTCTGGCAAAACCGAGCTGTTAGAAATTTAATAACTGCCTCGCGTGTTAATTCACGGCTCATTACGCATGCAAGAATGCAGAGATGAATCTGAAATCTACAATAAGAGGCAGTAAACAACAGGAATAAAAATGAGCTCATTCCAGCTGATATAAAGTCGGGCAAACGTTTTTAAAGATAACCTATAAACTGGCGCCACCGTTCTTACAAATACGTGTCTAAAGGATTGTCCTTCTAATGGCTCTACGCGGGAAACTTCCTCCCCACCCATTCACCCCCCCCCCCCCCCCGCCTCCTTGACCCAACAGTTTCCCTTAGTTAAAAAGTGGTGTTAGCGTTGGGTTGTGGGAAGGGTCCTTGAGGTGGGCAGCTTCCCAAAATTTTGTAACGATCCCATATTACCATCCATTACCCATATAATCGGCAAAATTGGTGGAAATCCATTGGGGATGTACCTGTATTTGCATTGACTTCCATAAGCCTCTTGACGTGTGCTCTGAGTTCATTCGCGCGTATTTCAGTATACCCAGCGTGAATAGCTTCCACGAGAACTTCATGGATAAAAACGTACTGTTCTTCTACTTGTACCATGATGTTTCTGTCACAGCGCAAAGACATCACATATCCAAACACGTCGACTGTTTTCTCTGCCGCTATACGCTGCAGCATGGAGTCTACAACAATGAATGTACCGGTTCTCCCCACACCGGCGCTGCAGTGAACAACCTGCAACATAAATAGCTAGACTGAGGAGAGCAAGGGGTGGAGAAAGCACAGACCTCCCACTATTGTGCGCGGCGGTATTAGGGAGTTTAAGCAGGGACGTTTTTGAGCGACCCACGTCAACCGGAAGAGAGCCTTTTCCGCTTTTAAATACCTTGACGCTACCAAATTTGTATGGCTAAGTTTCTACGCTCTAAAAATCACCGCTCAAGAGGGCAAAAAGTCCACTTCATGTTAACGTGCTTAAACTCCCTAATCCCCGAGCCAACGTCGCCAATTTCCCTTTTCTAAATAAGGGAGTGCTATCATATTTAACCAAGCCTTTGTTATGGTAGATCTAATATATGCTCTGGATAAAGTTACAATAATGCAAAAGATACATTTTTATTTTCAGAAAGAACAAAGTTTAAGCCAAAGGTCAATTCACAGTAAACGTCCGGAAAAGGTTAAGGTTCACCTGTTGAAGATGCATGACGTACGAAAGGTGAATAATCAATATGTGCTCGTAAATGTTTCGGAATTTTGGTGGTTCGGGGTGAAAGTGAAGTGGTAAGGGGAAGAGGCTTGCATAAGAAAGGTTAGAGTTCACTTCTAAGTTGTGAAATTCTTTCGTTTTTCGAAGAAACACTTTCAATACCAGTTACAAAGATCAAAGGTCTCTATTGCGAACAACTGTTACAACACGCACCTGTATTTTTGCCTTTGTTGATGCCCCCCAAAACTCTTTTTTGCTCGATGTGTACCTTCGAGGAAGAGTCTTCCATATACTATTGTTTCCGCTCCGTCTTTGCCCATGTTTTAGCTCACAGCGAAAAGCTATCTACCATCACTTACTGCCTAATTATGCTACCCATTTTAGCCTATGATATAATTGGCAATTAACCGATTAAAGATTAAAGATTCACATTTTCCAACTCACCATAGACCCGGCATCAGACGGGTTAGCACCCGATGCTTTCCTAACAAACGTTAGCAAAGAAGTTGGGCAGGAAGGAACACCATGATCTGGCCATACAGTGTAATGGTACTGATTCACAGTTCGCTCAGCTCTGCTATTGGCCTTCTTTAGACAAAACGTGCGGATAGTAAAGTCACTTAACTCTACTGTCTGTGTCAGATTTATTTGAATATCACCGTAAGTGGATCCCTCCTCCGAAGGCCAATACTGATAGCACTTCACACGACCTCGCTCTTCCAAGTTTGTTACCTGGAAGGGAATGCATACAGAGTTATAACTCATAAGGCGAAATTTGTTTTAAACTACTGATGCATATGTAAACAAGTGGAACAGCCGACAGGTTATGTCTATTCGCTATTTGCAAATCTCCATTAATACACCTTATCCTCCCCCCCCCCCCCCNCCAGGTACCCCCTGTAACGGCGTCAGACAAACTCGGCTATGGTCATAGGCAACAATATTATTGTAACGGTTCTTGAATCTGTTCTCTTGCGCTAGCGTGGCATTCCAAGTAAAGTCCATAGAGGGACGAAGAGCACTGTATTCTTGAGAGAACAACAGGTCGCCATTTGCGTGGAGGCGACGCACGTGACCTTCGAACTCCTCCACGGGTATGGATTCTCCAGGGACATAGTTGGGGTTGTCTGTGAATCAAGATGACCTTTGATGTTAACTTTAGCCGGTTAAACCGTAAGGGCTTAAACAGGATTAACCAGAAAGGGACTTAAAAATTGTCCTTATTCGCTAATTACCTGTTAGAAACCGCGGGTACTTTTCATGAGAGGCTCACTCTTATGAAGACCCGTTTGAGTAGATCTAACGTCGACAAATAAAAGAAAGTTGCATGATACATGAGATAATGCCTAAGCTCCGAGGACTTCGTATAAATAATGACCGAGCGCGTAGCATAAGGTATTATCCGAGCAAAGACGATTATCTGATTGAACGCATCTTTCTCTGTCTTAGAACGAACAGGTCATTGCTGTGATCACTAAGATCCAATAATGACTTGCTCTTCCATTTATTAAAAATACTGTTAAAAAAGTAAATAAAATGAAATAAACTAAAAAGGTGAATTATGATGAGTGCTCGAACGAACCCGCCCAACTCCCAACTAACCATAAGTCCACCATGTTGCATGAGAAGTAAACGAATTATGGGCCACTGAACAGCTGGACAAGGCCCAGGACAATTGTACGATAACGTCATTTTACAGTAACTACCAAAATCCTTCAGTCTGTTGTTTTCTTGTGCAAATTAAGCCGCTATTGTTTCTTTACAGTCAAGGCAGGTCAAGCGTACCCCTATTAGATTCTATTAATGAATTGATATTTGAAAAATAAATCCAGTAGTCGTTCCCGTAACTAGTGTCTAATTCAAATCGACATTGCTGCACTTGTAATAAGCAGTGACTATTTTATGAGAACTTCCCCGTAACTGGTCAGATTGAAAATCTTGGAATGGTTAAAATTGCTTCGAGGACATTTACATCAAATTCTGGCAAAACCGAGCTGTTAGAAATTTAATAACTGCCTCGCGTGTTAATTCACGGCTCATTACGCATGCAAGAATGCAGAGATGAATCTGAAATCTACAATTACCAACGGATTAAACGTTCGAAGAATTCATTCATTTGTGGAATCTTGAGGCGTACGCTTGACCACGCTTGACTGTACGTAACTTCAGGAAGAAACACAATTTTACCTAAGAGAGCAGAACCGAAATGGATTCTAGTAGTTGTATTTCAGTGAAGTCATCGTACAATTGGCCTATTATTTTTATCAGACTAGTAAAAATGTGAAAATGTCAGTCCACACCCATTGTTCTACTTATTCAAACGCGGAATTAAATTGCGAATGTGCATCCACACACTCTAGAGAAAGCTTTTTCAAGGCAACAGCACGAGACACAGAAGCAAAAGAAAATAGAGTTCGGTATAACGCGATCTAACATAATCAAACAACTTTCACACAACTGTCAATCCCATTAAGTCATTAAGTGTTCAAACACATCAAGTCTGATTAACAAATATAAGATGTGATTAAACAGGGCTATATGAATAATAAAAGCGCATACTAGTTTAATTTATATAACAAAGGTGGGTACTGTAGTTTTTTTTAAATTTAATTTTTGCTGTTGTTATTGTTTGTTGTTGTTGTTGTTTTTTATAATTGCGAGACAACCGCTAAATAACTGGGCCCACTTTTTCATCTCTATTTCTTCTTTTATCTCTTAGGCTTAAAATAATTTATTGACTCGGTAAGAAAAGACAAGGAACAGATGAAATTCATCGTGAGTTACCGTATAAATCTGCCTTCAATTCTACACTTACATGAGCTTTGAATTGTGTTTTCCAGCGAATTATTTCCTGTAACAAATTAATTAGCAGTTCTTTGAGATTTAGACTTTGGACTTAAATGTCAACCCTTATCTTTAAGGTAAACTAAGGCAAAAGTAAGCCGAAATAAAGAAGTTTGTTAGGTCAAGGTTTTTCAAAGAGTTAGGTAACTCGTCGCTAAGGATTAAAGCCAATGGAATTATATAGTTATGCTTATACAGTTGTTATTTTTTATGGTCTTTTAGCGTTCTATTGCAAAATAATATAAACGTACTTTCTTGTGATTTTATCAAGTGAATCTTGGCATAAAATTGGGTTTTATTGTTAGCTGATAGATCAGTTATCAAAGGGAGTACTGACAGCTATAGTTTCAACGTTAGCTTACTTATAATTCTTGCAGGTATCGTTACAAAAGTCCTAAGGAATTTACATCAGATTAATACCTTAGTTTGCAGGTATGGTTAGTGGACTTATTAAGCGTTTCATATCTTAACAAAGTTGTCTTTCACAACTTAGGGTTATTTCAACAGTAGAATGACAGAAAAAAAATATCGTTTCCGCGTTCCAAAAACACTCAATTTCAAAACGAGGCCAACTGCAAAACTTTTCTTGTCAAGATGAGTTTTAATTGCGTGACTAAAGAAACGTTTTTATGGCTTTGCATTTAGCTTCGCTTTGAAACAGGGGCTCGGAGCAACTCGGAAATGACCTATTCACTGCACGAAGAATACAGTTTAGTTCCTATGTTTGCTGTGTTCAGAGCCCTTTGGCCTATCAGGTAGAGAAACAAGTATTCCAAAAAGGAACGTTTGATCCCAAAACAAACGAGATCGGAATAAATACGACGTGGCTTAGACTTTCACAAAGTTCTCTGCAGTCGCGCAGTTTTATTTTGTTATGTACAACAGGACTTTTCTCCCTTGATACGCGCCAAAAAGCAGGTCGCTTTATGAATTATAGCTGCAGTCAATCACACAAAAGAATGCGCGCAAAAGTCACGTGGTCGATAAAGCACAGCCGCCTGACTTTGACTTTTGGCGGCAAGCTAAAATCAAAATCCTTCAAGAGGGGCAAGTCTAACGCTTTCGCGACTGCGTCCCTTGCTCGGTCTCTTCGCGAACTAATTGACCTCACTTCGCTCGCTTTAGGACTGCTGACAAACTTTTACCCTGTATTATTGACAAAAAGAGGACGAGAGGAAGGAAGTCTAGTCCTGAAAATGCAAAGGCCTTGCTCAACAGGTCTACCAGGTTGGTCCATGTTAAGCCATTGTTGGATGGAGCATGCTGGGTCCTTTTGGACATCTTATTGAACTGTGGTAGATGTTATGGATGATGTTAAATCAGGTTTAGACTAGTTGAAACTTAACCGACATCGTCCCACAATGTTGGATGAAACTGGATCATCACGAAGGATTTCGGAACGGCTTATTTGAATGCATTTTTCTGAAAGGTTACCAAAAGTCCTACAATACAACTCACCAATTCCTGATCTTCGGAAAAACCCGGAGACTGATTTGGTACGGTGTGGCTTGGAATTCATGGGCACGTCTTCCCCATCAACGGCTTGATCCTTGTTTCTTCGACGAAGATAGACGATGACTACTACTACAATAACAGCCAACACAATAAGCGGAACAACCACCCCTACTACAATAGCGGCCGTGTTGTCCTTGTTGGTGGTGAATATGATAAAGCCCTCGTTCTCGTAATTATCATCCTTATCAAAGGAACGCTGAAATACAGCATACTTGGTATCATCGTCAAGCTTTCCGTTTAGATACTTTTCAACTAGTAAAGCAAAACAAAGAAACATCATGGTTAGAAAATCAGTGTTCGATGTCTGAACTCTCATGCTAGGTGCAAACGGACGCAACAACTCCCACCCAATGTTGGGACCTGCAGTGTGTCGTGGAAAAGTTACAACCAACCCATAGGAAGTTGTAAACAACATGTCCCAGGGTGAACAAACGGACGCAAGATGTAACATCCAACACAACAACAATGTTGCGTCCGTGGATAAATTTAGGTTTCTGGGAAACTGCCCACCCACCCCTCCCCTAAGCCAATAGTTTGCCCTAAGTGGGAAGTAAGTGATAATGTTGACTTAGGGGAGGGGTGGGTGGTCAGTTTCCCAGAAACTTAAATTGATCCGCGTCCGTTTGAACTGGGCTTACCATACGAATATCTCCCCGAGGGGCTCTACGTGTGTCCACCGAGCGGTTTTCGTTTAGCCAGAATTTAAGGCTGGTTTTCATCAGAGACGGAGTCGAAATCAGAAACGACTAAAGAACTTTACGATTTAGTGAAAACAGCGTTGTGATTCTTGTGAGTCCGCTTACGACTGCCGTCGTTTACGATCACGTGAAAACTGGGTCGTCGGAGTTGCAAGCAGACACGGAAGAACTAAACCAATCACAAAGCGTGGGAACGTGCATTGTGATTATATTGCACTATCCTTCCGCTTTTGCTTCCGTCCCTGACAAGCTGGTTTTCACTAGATCATAAGCGGAACGTAAGCGATGAAGTCGTAAGCGGAATCGGAAGAAAATAGAAACGCTCTAATTCTTCTGACTCCGATTCCGTCGTGCTANAAAAACCCGGAGACTGATTTGGTACGGTGTGGCTTGGAATTCATGGGCACGTCTTCCCCATCAACGGCTTGATCCTTGTTTCTTCGACGAAGATAGACGATGACTACTACTACAATAACAGCCAACACAATAAGCGGAACAACCACCCCTACTACAATAGCGGCCGTGTTGTCCTTGTTGGTGGTGAATATGATAAAGCCCTCGTTCTCGTAATTATCATCCTTATCAAAGGAACGCTGAAATACAGCATACTTGGTATCATCGTCAAGCTTTCCGTTTAGATACTTTTCAACTAGTAAAGCAAAACAAAGAAACATCATGGTTAGAAAATCAGTGTTCGATGTCTGAACTCTCATGCTAGGTGCAAACGGACGCAACAACTCCCACCCAATGTTGGGACCTGCAGTGTGTCGTGGAAAAGTTACAACCAACCCATAGGAAGTTGTAAACAACATGTCCCAGGGTGAACAAACGGACGCAAGATGTAACATCCAACACAACAACAATGTTGCGTCCGTGGATAAATTTAGGTTTCTGGGAAACTGCCCACCCACCCCTCCCCTAAGCCAATAGTTTGCCCTAAGTGGGAAGTAAGTGATAATGTTGACTTAGGGGAGGGGTGGGTGGTCAGTTTCCCAGAAACTTAAATTGATCCGCGTCCGTTTGAACTGGGCTTACCATACGAATATCTCCCCGAGGGGCTCTACGTGTGTCCACCGAGCGGTTTTCGTTTAGCCAGAATTTAAGGCTGGTTTTCATCAGAGACGGAGTCGAAATCAGAAACGACTAAAGAACTTTACGATTTAGTGAAAACAGCGTTGTGATTCTTGTGAGTCCGCTTACGACTGCCGTCGTTTACGATCACGTGAAAACTGGGTCGTCGGAGTTGCAAGCAGACACGGAAGAACTAAACCAATCACAAAGCGTGGGAACGTGCATTGTGATTATATTGCACTATCCTTCCGCTTTTGCTTCCGTCCCTGACAAGCTGGTTTTCACTAGATCATAAGCGGAACGTAAGCGATGAAGTCGTAAGCGGAATCGGAAGAAAATAGAAACGCTCTAATTCTTCTGACTCCGATTCCGTCGTGCTAGTGACTCCCGCTTACGATTCCGACTTGGACTCCGTCGCTAGTGAAAACCATCCTTTAGTGAGAAGCAGCATAACTTTTCAGTGGCAGAGTTCATTCGACAGTTTCACCGTGGAAATAAAGTAACGGTAGATCAATGCAGAAAAAACCTCTGACATCAAAATGCTGGTATTGTTAGTATTATTAGCCATCAAGCCCTTTCTTTTGAGACTGGGGGAGGAGTGGGAAGGGTGGGGACGCTAATTAACAATTATTGGACGAGGTTGAGCAAAATATCGTGATTTGTCGCGAGCAGATTAATTATTTGCCGAGGCCGAAGGCTGAGGCAAATAATTGATCTGCGAGACACTGACAAATCACGATGTTTTGCGGTAACCGGGTTCAATAATTGTTTGATTATTCGATCACCGAGTTTGCTTTTTAACGAATATCCTTGGGAAGCGAAGCGATCTGCCATTTTCACGCAAGAGCGATCGCAAGAAGGAGAAAAGCACGGTTTCCTTTACGCATGAGCAGAATATTATTTGCAGCCAAACACTGTTGGACGGCATTGTACATGAGCAGACCATTATTTGTAGGCAGTTATTTCCAGGTCACGTGGTGGGCCTTCGGCCAATGAAAAGAAAGAAAAAATTGCTTCGAATGATAGTCTCGCTTACTAGTAAGGACAGGAAACTTTTTTTAACATAACCAAAATATACTTTATTTGTTTAACATCTCCTTGGTTTATTTGACTTGGCGTGTGTAAAATATCGTTATATCGGGGTAAACGTATTGAACCTGTGAAAACAGATCATACATATGGATCACGCTCTGTCTATTCAACCCTGTTCAAGGCAGATTCGTTGCTGGACGATACCCTGTTCAAGACACTAATTGGTGAAATTCTGTACGCCGTGTAAGACACAAGATCAAATACCCATACCCTGTCTGGTGTGACTGGCTCAGTCAGTCACATCCACCTTTGGGCCAAATGGGAGAGTGAGCCCAGGGTTTAGAGCCAACTTACCAACAGCTCTGCGTTTCCTTTTAGAGTCGGTTACATCGTTTCGTGAGTAGTATTTCCCGTCTCCAACTGGGAATTCTGTTGTAAACAGACCCTTTCGAAACTCGGCAGTAATGTAAGGCTTGCCTTCCTCTTGATTTTCGTAAGTCCGGTCGACTTTTTCGTATTTAGAATCCGCACTGTTTCCAGGGTCATCTTCTTTTCCCTTTAATGGCGTGACGATTATCTGAAAATGGCTACAGAGAGATAATACAATGTATATTTAGATAACTATGATGGAATTATTCTCCCGAAAGCGGTTACTTCGAGGTCACATGAAAGTTAACTTTGAACCTGTTTCACGCCAAAGTTTCTAAGCAGGCAACACTTTAAGTCTATGAGGTCAAAGAGTCATAGTGCACTTTGACCTGCCAAATCTTACCCTTGGCCGACATTTCGCCGCGACGCCGCAGTTACTATGGTTTCTCCGCGACAATGAAGTCGGATGAAAAGGCTGCAGAAATTCTTTCCAACGGCTCATAAATTTTAACGAATAGAAGTTTAATTTCCTTTGTGGAGTAAAGCAAAGTACATGGCGGACTTACGTAACTGGCTTGCCACTGCTTAAAGTTGCCTTGTTAACAAACGGCACTTTAACTTCATTTGTTCCAATGGCATCTCCTTGAGGCGGCGATTGTGTCGGCACGGCTACAACAAACAAACAACAACAATTTAGTACTTAGAAGTGCAGAGTTGATAAATTCTTTCTTCTTTAAGTTGAGGAGCCTCATTTTATGAATGTGGGTTTTCGAAACTTGAAAATTGTCTTTCATACGCGAAACTGAATCGCGAATCAGTTTTTCTCCTTAACGATCGTTTTTTGTTGATATACATGTATCTGAAATAATGGTGTTGGTTCCTCCTTTTATGTTAGCTTCGGGCAATTTTTGTCGAGGCTCTTTGTAGAAGAAGGGGGCTTTTCGCAAAGTGCCTAAAAGTATCACCTCCAGGGAGTCTCAGCTACAGAAAATTTTTGCAAGAGTGCATTTTTGCGGATTGGCGATTTTTTGTGTTTTGCGGGAACTAATTTTTGCGTTCATTACAAGGTGGTTTTTCTTGCTGGGAATTAATTTTTGCGATTTTCAGGAAGTACCCAGTACCCAGCCTGGATAAAATTTTCGTTTTTGTTAAGTACGTGCAGAAAGAAATACATATTTTCAAACAATACTACGGTATGCGTACCCTATGTTAAACTAGTATTTCATTGTATACCGTCTTGTTTCTGAATGAAAGAGGCAAGTTGCAATTGAATGAACAACCACGATTTCTTAGTACTGTATTTTTGTGTGATGAATTTAAAGAATAATTACTCTGGAGTTAATTTTTGCGGATAAAATGCTTGCGGTAATTTTTATTTGCGGGAACTTATTTTGCGGATCGCTAAAAAAACCACAAAAATCGCAAAAATTAGAACCCGCAAAAATTTCCTGCCACACGGTATGCTAAATGAACTCCTGTCGCTCACGCGAGAAGCAAAAGGTGCAACAGTGATAATAGCAATACGGCGCTGATGACACATTTGGTTTGATCTTGTGGCTAGCTCTGCCTTGCTCCGAGAGGTTCTTCCACGGTTCCGGGTACACCAGTTTAGCGAATCATGCAAATGCATTTCACGAGATCCCTGAAATATATTTGTAAACAATGCTCTTACAAAATGACGAACTTTCAATTTATTTCATTTATTTATATTATTTTTATCTATTTGTTTTATATCAAACAGATTTGATTAATACAAAAACAACTATCTACCTCAGGGTCGGTGCAAGGAACTAGACCATTCTTCATTTCCAAACCTCAACCCCCCACACCCCCCTCACCCCCGGCTTCGAGGGGTAGCTGTGTAGTGTCCTTTACCTTTTGTCGTAGCCGTTATAGGGTCACTAAATGGTCCATAACCTACTGAAGTTGCGGCCGCAATCCAAAACCGATATTCTGCCTTCTGCCTCAGTCCATTAACAGTTGCATTTACAGCGGGTGCTTTGACGGTCACTGTGCCATTTCCTTTATTTTCCACGTCTCTGAAGCGTATGGTGTAATTTCTGATAATGCCATTCTGGGACGCTCGAGGAACAGGTTTCCATTTCAATAAAACACTGGTAGTGTCTAATACTGTCACGCTGGTTATTTTCGGAGACTCAGAAGGTTCTGTAAAAAAAAAAAAACACGTTTGGAATTAGTTGCCCCTTGATTATTTAACAATTATTGAATGAGGCGGAGTAGGATGTGTTCGGCTTAGTTTTACAACGCTCTCCTCGATCTGCAACATTCTACACATCATACGAAAGCTAAATTCAAAAAAATTCATCATACGAAAGCTAAATTCAATATTCATTCACAGCATTTCTAAGTTCTTAACAAAGCCACTTCTTCGTAGACTTTCTTCAAAACTTTAGCACGGTTTCAGGATATAAACAGATGTTTTCTTTCCTTACACGTTCTCCTCAATGGTAGACAACATCCATCGAGCATTATGTTTGGCAAATTCTGGCATTCTTCCGTTCAGTTTTAACCAGAAATTCAGCTATTTCGTCTTCACAAAGCCGTAAACACCATATATATATATTTTCTAAAGTTCACTCGGGAATAGAAAGCTAGGCTTCTCGGCGCGTCTTGAAACGAGGTTGCGGTATGGAGGAAGCGGTATGGTTTAAACAAAATGTGACAGAAGTTGATAAGCTATATGATAATTGGTACACGGAATTAAATGAGGATTGTGGATAAACACCTCCCATTAAAGAGAGTTAAAGCACGGAAGATAGACGTACCATACATGACGGGTGAATGGAATGAAGCCATCCGGAAAAAGAGAAAGTATGCCAAGAAATTCAGTCAAAGCAAAACCAAAGAAAACATGGAGTTAATGAAGAAATGGCGCAATAATGCTACACGATTAAGAAGAAAGGCGATCAAGAATTATTGGAATGCCATATGCGAGGACATGAATAATAACTCAAGAAAATTCTATAACACCTTTACTCCGTTCCTCAGGACCAAACCAAAAAAGGACAAAAGTTTAATCTCTCTTAACATCGAAGGTGTTACACACCAGGACCAGAGGCTTGTGGCACAAGAATTTACCAACTACTTTTGTTCGATAGCTGATCACATTGGTGGGACTGACGTAGGGGCTCTAACAGAGGCTCTATGTTATCAACATCATAGTGTCGCGAGCATAAACGCCAGGCACGATCCAAATACATTCAGTTTCAGAAGACTGGATAGGAATGAGGTCCTCGCAGCACTGAGAGAAATTAATCCCCATAAAGCAACAGGATATGATATGTTACCTCCAAGAGTACTTAAAATGACAGCAGAACTGCTAGCAACACCACTGACTACTATATTTAATCAGGCTATTGAGGAAAATCGTTGGCCCAGCGCCTGGAAAAGAGGAGAGTGGATCCCGATTTATAAGAAGGAAGACCCCTTAGATAAAGTTAATTACAGACCAGTAACCGTGCTAACTGCGGTTGATAAAATCTTTGAGCAGCTAATATGCAAACAACTAAGTGAAAAGTTTGAGCCAATTTTCGATACCTTTTTGTCAGCTTACCGCAAACACTTCAGCTGCGAAACGACCTTGATACGCCTTACTGAAGATTGGAAGCATGCAGCAGACAAAGGGCATGCATCAGTGATATTATCCACGGACATGAGCAAAGCTTTTGACTCATTACATCCAAATTTGTTACTGGCAAAGTTAAAAGCCTATGGGCTGTCTGACCCCGCTTTGGGATTAATGCGATCTTATTTTGATGATCGGGAAAACAGAACAAGAGTTGGCAACTACACAAGTGATTGGAAAGCTGTCAAACGAGGCTGCCCGCAAGGGTCATCCTTGGGACCGCTGTTGTGGAACGTGTATCAAAACGATTTATTCTACACTGGCGTTAAATCTCAGTTGTCTGCCTATGCCGATGACCATCAGATCTACTGCTCCAATTTGAATCTGCACTCTGCTATAGATAGAATTAAGGAAGATGGGGAAGAGACATCGAGGTGGTATAAGACAAATTTTCTGCAAGGCAATTATAGCAAATACCAAGCAATGGCTATAGCAAGGGACACACAACAAATGGAGCTAGTGATTGATGATTGCAGAATTAACTTTACCGATGCATTCAAACTGCTAGGCATAATTATTGATAAGGACTTGAATTTCTCGCAGCATATATCAGAGGTCTGCATAAAAACCAGTAAAATGATTGGTGTTCTTCAAAGGCTAAAGAATCTGATCCCGATGAACGCCAAACTACGGATATATAAAACTGCAGTTTTACCCCATCTCACATACTGTAGCTTGGTGTGGCACTTTTGTCGAGCAAGCGACAGAAACAAGCTAGAGAGAATTAATGAGAGAGGACTACGTACAGTCTTCAAAGATCGAGTCTCTCCTTATGGTGACCTTCTTACACACGCTGGAATGACTAGTCTATATAACATGAGATTACAAGATATCGCTATCTTTATGTTCAAAATAAGGAATAGATTACTGCCTTACAACATACTAGAACTCTTCTCGTCATCGTCTTCGAATTACAACCTGAGGAACTCGGACTTTCACGTTCAAAGGGTAAAAACTGTTAAATATGGAAAGCATTCCCTCAGATTTTTTGGGCCATTTTTATGGTCAAAATTGAGTATGAAGGACAGAAACGAGACCTCCTTAAGCAGGTTTAAAGCAAATATAAGGAGAAAAGATCTGAGCAAATTGGTTAGTGATAACGCATGCAAAGGGTGCCACCTGTGTGACTCATAATTCATAAACAGGAAATATCATAACTGGTAGAGTTGATATATTATGAAATTGTATATATAGTTTTTTCTTATTTATTACATAGGTGTATTTTCGAAGCATATTGAATATCGTGTATCTTTTAAGTAGTTTTAGAATAGTTAAATCTTATTAGCTTATAGTATTATTTACATATATTTCTTATTAATAAGCTATTTAAGTAGTGTCCCCGATTAGTAGGCCTGACGGCAAGCTAGAAGACTAGACACTTAAATGAAGTTGTTGATTGATTGATTGTTGATCGATGCGATATTTGGCTGGAAACGAGGCTACTCAATCGATGGTATTCGATAGAATTTGGTCAATGCCACCTGGTTATGAAGAATTAGGCGGGGAATTTGAAGCAATCTGAAACGGCGGAATATTTTGAATAAACAATAGTAGCAAATTTTTGGATAAAGTTGAGTATAGACTTCTTTCGTAATGGTGGCCCATTTATTTATTCTTTCGTATGTATCATTAGTCGGATTTTGAAAAAGTTATCGCCAAATGGACCTTTTGCGTCCAACAGTTCTTTTCGGCCAAAAACTCCAAAGTCGCTATTAGTGAAAAACTAAGAATGCAACCATTGCCTTTTTTCTCTTCTCCTCCTTTCCTTCTCCTCGCTCCTTCTTTTTCTCCTTTTCCTTTTCCTGTGATTTTGGAGCTTCTCGGACTTAAGAAACCTTCCTTTTGACGCCTTTTCACTCAAATGACTGCAAATTTCCTTAGGTTGGTTTTTAAAAAATCGGTTAGATATAAATGAGCCCTTCTGATCTCGTTTGAAAGTAAGAATTATTTTGTAATTTGCACATCAAAGAGGCTCATTATCATACATATAAAAGAATATATTAAAAGAGCCGCCATTATGAAAGAGCTCTATGGTCTGAAGAATACCGTAAATGATCTAATAGACGCCAACTCTCAAATAAACGCCTCTTATCTGAAAAACGCCAGCTCTACGATGTTAAGTTTGTATAAGACGCCCCTCTGTAATAAACGTTCCCTGTGACATTTACTTCAAAATACTAGGAACTGGAAAAAAGGATCAAAATCATTCAATTTGTTCAGTTTCTTGTGCATTATATCTTATTCACTATCAAGTTCAAATAAGGATGGACTAACGACACAATGACTCTCGGCGAGTATTGTGACATCGTTGCATTTGCTCAGTTGAGATTTGAAAGAGTGATAGGGATCTCAAGACGGCCTAGTCGTATCAATTGATGGACTGGATATTCCGCTATTGTTAAACTCTTTTGATATTTTCGTCGAAATCATATTGGTTTTGTTGAACTTGTTACAGATATGAAAATAAACGACTCCTTGGACCGTTAAAGTTTATTATTATTCATTCAAAATAATTTCCCGATTCTGATTGGCTAAAAGCACTCGTTTAATTCACCATAACCAGTTACTGATGACCAAATTTGGAAGAATTTTGTGTTTAACGAGGAAATGACGTCAAAAATGCAGCGTTTTCGCAGGTTAAGGCACCGTTAACCGAGAAGACCTGGGGACGAGGTTGAGTTGTTTTGATTGTAAACTTGAAAAATGGCGGGCATTTCACTCGTTTCAAGAGTAAGAACTAGTCGAAAACATAGCTAAAAACATGGGAAGAACAGCAAGAAAACAAGGGCGACGTCTGCTATTTGGAGAATATTTGCGGTGCTGGACAAACCTAAGCGTGCACTATCGAAATGAACTTAACATCGATGGATCGATGGAGGTTAGCATGTTTTAACCATGTTTTTAAACTAGGAATTATTTTGAATGAATAATAAAACAATTATTGAATTCGACTTTCGTATCATATGAAGAATTATGGAGATCTCGGAGGGTGTTATCCGTCGAGGCCGTATTTATTAATTGTTAAATAAACCTCTCGGGTGTCAATTAGATCATTTACCGCAATGTGGATCGAGGAGGATAATAAGAGATCTGCATAATTCTTCAGATGATACGGAAGGACGTGTCTTTTAACTACGTCAGAAAATAACATAGGCACGTTCAACGTGCATGAGCTATTTTGAATGCTTCAGTGTAACTATAATACTTCGGTGTAACCTTACCAAGAGTGATGAATCTACCTTTTTCATCCTAAATGTAGATTTGGCTTTTGTGCGAAATTGGGTATTGCGCTACATAAATGAAAACGCGAAACGCTCAGCTGAGTCGATCCTCAACCTATGTATTCACTTTCCTCTGTCTTTCCCAGTTACATCTGGTGGAAGTTAAACAAATTGCTAAAGTAAAATAAATTTCTACTCACCAAACGTTGATTAGAGGGAAAACTCTAAGGTTTCCTCGGAGTTTCTTAAGCCAAAATGTGACTCATCGAATACTGAATAGTTACGAAATACCAGGATTTTTATCATTGAGGTAGATGGTTGCGTCATCATAATTCACGAGGTTTTCACGTGCGATTCTACTCAGTGAAACAGTCTTTAACTCCGACAACTTATTTCTTCATGTTTTAAAAGCTATTGCTTCTTAAAAGGCAAGAGCCTTTTTTAAGGCATTGGTTACAAAACGAAACAGGTCTTCATACGTCCAAGTTACTATTTATCATTGTGAAAAGCCAATCTGCATGAGATGTACAGTCACACAGCTGGCACGTGAAAGTGTTGGACTTTGTCCCCTTTCGTGGTTCGTACGTGAGGGAATTCGAGTTATCACACAATAAACTAGTAAACAGAATTATAAAAATAACTCTTGCACACAATTTGCACGTGAAGATGTTGGTCTTTGGCCCTTTTACAATTCGTACGTTAAAAAAAAGGCAAATTGTTTACTACAAAATTTTCTCAAGCGATTTTAAGAAATCACCTCGGCTTCATTACAACATCTGCAATTAAATTATGTTTCATGCAACGTCAAGGTTGATAACCTAACATTTATTAACATTTGTGAGACAGTCTTTAACTCCGACAACTTATTTCTTCATGTTTTAAAAGCTATTGCTTCTTAAAAGACAAGAGCCTTTTTTAGGGCATTGGTTACTAAACGAAACAGGTCTTTATACGTTCAAGTCACTATTACTATTGTGAAAAGCCAATCTGCATGAGATGTACAGTCACACAGATGGCACGTGAAAGTGTTGGACTTTGCCCCCTTCCGTGGTTCGTACGTGAGGGAATTCGAGTTATCACACAGTAATCGAGTAAACAGAATTATAAAAATAACTCATGCACACGATTTGCATGTGAAGATGTTGGTCTTTGGCCCTTTTACAATTCGTACTTAAAAAAAACGCAAATTGTTTACTACAAAATTTTCTCAAGCGATTTTAAGAAATCACCTCGGCCTTATTACAACATCTGCAATTAAATTATGTTTCATGCAACGTCAAGGTTGATAACCTAACATTTATTAACATTTGTGAGACAGTCTTTAACTCCGACAACTTATTTCTTCATGTTTTAAAAGCTATTGCTTCTTAAAAGACAAGAGCCTTTTTTAGGGCATTGGTTACTAAACGAAACAGGTCTTTATACGTTCAAGTCACTATTACTATTGTGAAAAGCCAATCTGCATGAGATGTACAGTCACACAGATGGCACGTGAAAGTGTTGGACTTTGCCCCCTTCCGTGGTTCGTACGTGAGGGAATTCGAGTTATCACACAGTAATCGAGTAAACAGAATTATAAAAATAACTCATGCACACGATTTGCATGTGAAGATGTTGGTCTTTGGCCCTTTTACAATTCGTACTTAAAAAAAACGCAAATTGTTTACTACAAAATTTTCTCAAGCGATTTTAAGAAATCACCTCGGCCTTATTACAACATCTGCAATTAAATTATGTTTCATGCAACGTCAAGGTTGATAGCCTAACATTTATTAACTTCCAAGAAAATTATCAAACTGCCGAAATATATTTCTGCTCATATCATGTTACTCCACTCAATAAAGCAGTACCTAATTATTGTGTCAACTAGCTTCTTCCAATTTTATTCCCTAACGCTACTGTTTCTACTTAAGTTTATACGCATCTTTACTAAATAAAATACGTTTCAATAACTATAATGCTTAGTATGCAGGAAGGATGTATCATGTTGTTCACTTATTATTCCTTTTTGTTGTTGTTTTGCCGGAACGAAAAAGGTCTGTTGAACTTTGTAAGCGAGAGAATAATATTTCTACAGCTTGTTTACAGGATTAACAATACTCGGTACAGCTTTTAAAAAAATAAGCTGCTTTTCAAACTTCTAAAACCACATTTTATAGGCCGCATACTTTCGAATTAAAGTCCATATCTAAATATCAATTATTGCTTCACTGGAAGAGCTTTGAAAATATATGATCGTTTATACTCTACCTTGAAGCAGGTGAAACACAACTCATAAATACGTGCGTGGTACCGTTCGCGATAGCCGAATTCGGTCAGAAATGTCTTGAAGTAGCATCCACACTAAAATATGAACCCTTAAACAGCTGCATCACTGTACACAGCGTTTGAATCATGAAGATATTTAATATAATGTTTCCAAACACCTGTAGCCGTAATAAAAGACGAACAAATTGTAAAGAATCAAGATGGCGGTCTTAAAGTGCCCTTGTTCGACCTTTAGCAATGTGATTTTTAAGTAGATGCCAAGATCTCATTGGTTCCTTAGCATCAACTCATAGTACCTTCAACCTTATTGGCTCTTGCAACAAACATCCGAACATACAAAGTTACAAAGATACAAAGTTACAAAGTTACAAAGTTACAAAGTTACAAAGATACAAAGCCACAAAGATACATACGCTCACACCACTGACATATGAGCTATTTTTTCAAAATAGCTCAATAATGGTCGAGAAAAAAAACACAAAAGATTACTAATTTGCTACACTCTGTGAAAAACATTACTTTGTAAAAGAGCAAGGAGCAACTCTTATCATATGTTGTATTTCTGCTACGAATAGATATTTGTACAAAATTCTCCCATGCTCCAACTGGTTTTTTTCCGGGTACTCCGAATTTCCCCTCTCCCTAAAAACCAACACTCCAAATTCCAATTCGATCTGGAACGCACGGACACGTTTCAACGAGTTCATAAGAACTCTCAAGTGCTCCGTGGGTAAACAAGTTACAATTTAAATAAAATTTACAAAAATTTCAACAATTGGAAAACTCACTGTCTTCATCAGTACGACGAGTGATAGGTTCACTGACATTTCCATCTCCTTTGACAGTAGAGGCAAACACTGTGATCGTGTAGTTGGTGTGCTCATTAAGACGAGTCAGTGTTGCTTCAGTTGTTGGGGCATTGACTACCTTGGTTTGTTCATTGTCACCAGGAAGAGCTGTGTAGGTAACTGTGTATTTCAGTATGATGCCATTTTGATCAGCTGCGGGAACATCACCCCACTGAACCAAAATACTGGTAGGACTTATGATGTGTCCCTGGATATTAGATGGAGGAGCATTGGGTTCTGTTGAGAAAAAAAAGAGAGACAAATTGATCAAATGCATTCTTAAAGGAGCTGTGCCAAGTCTGTCTCGTTCATTTTGTTAAAAATACCAGTTACGCGATGAAACTTGAGAAATTACCTGTGAATGACTAATGCTAATGACTGAGTAATGAGCAGATGTTATGAAGCATTTTACGTTTCATTAATTTTATAATAGCACGGTCAATCTTCCTAGAGTGATTTTGTTGTTCAAAATAAGAGATGCTAGTGGAGAGAGAAAATACTTAATTACAGTGAGTAATTTAACGGAGCTTACGTTTAGTAAGGACGTACTGTTGATATGTTCTTTTAATTCGTTTTATACAGTATGATAGTAATGTTTGTTTAGATTTTTCCCCCTGGGGTGGGGGCTTTTTTGACACTTTTGATTGACCTTTCGTTTCCCACCCTAGGGAATTTGATCAAAAACTTTTAAAATTTGTCAAATCCCAACCCCTTGCCCGCACTCCCCCCCCCCCCCCCCCCGCGCTTCCTCTGTTGGGTTAAAAAAATTTCACCACAACCAGTTTCCCTTTTTTCTTTACAACTACCCCGTTCTTTCAAAAAAGGAAAAAAAAAAAAAAAAAACAATTTAACAAAAAAAAAACCTCACTACTAACACAACAACAAATTTTTTATTATTTTTTATACTTTTTTTTTTTAACATTTTCCCCTGGGGGTGGGGGTTTTTTTACACTTTTTTTTTACCTTTTTTTTTCCCCCCCGGGGGAATTTGTGTAAAAAATTTTAAAATTTATAAACCCCCCACCCCTTGCCCCCCCCCCCCCCCCCCCCCACGGGGTTTACATTGATAGGTGCATAAGTCTTAACATCGACAGTTTCCCTTGTTCTTTCAAACCTTACCGCGTTCTTCAAGAAGGGCAAAAATATACAAAAAGCACTTTTACAACATATATACTGCCTTCATCTCAACAACCAACAAATTAAATTCAAATAGCAGCTAAATTCTCGCCATCTCCACCTAATGATCCCATTATAGGACCTACCGATCCAACACTACGCTTCGGAGCTACGGAACTGTCAGTGAACAACATAAAGTATTTTACTATATTTAAGCGTCAGTGATCTGTTTTGATGAAATACTTTCCAAAACAACGATTAACTTACTATCTTCATCCGTGATGACAACAATAGGTGCACTAGCATTTCCATCTCCCTTCACAGTAGAAGCAAACACTGTAATGCTGTAGTTGGTGTATTCATCGAGTCCTGTTAGATTTGCTTGAGTTATTGGAGCATCCACTACCTTGGCTTGTGGACTGCCATCAGGAAGATCTTTGTAGGTAACTGTGTAACTTAGTATAATGCCATTTTGATCAGCCGGGGGAACTTCACCCCAATCAACCAAAATACTGGTAGAACTTGTGTTGCGTCCCTGAATGTTGGATGGAGCGGCATGTGGCTCTGAAAGAAAAAAAAAACCTTCACGGTCAAAAAATTATACCAGACTTATCTACGGCTTAGAGTGCCACTACACTTAACGTTTTCCACAGCTATGAATGGAAATGTTGGCCAAAAATTAAAAGCAACCAGTTGCAAAAGTACTAGATACGCTGTACCGTATTTTGGCATAAATGGCCGGTCCATGATTTGGTGCTTGTGATCCCCCCCTCCACCCCTTATCAAAGTTGGTAGCAATAACAAGAGCATGATCAAAACTTGGAGGAACAACTTTGAATGGCAAGGAGGAGGGAGGTCACTATTATATCTCACAGACCCGCGACCAGCAGGGAATTGAAGCAAGGAAGGTGTTTTTTTCGTGGGAGTGTCTCAACATCACAAAACAAGACCTACCGATCCAAAACCACGCTACGGAGGCACGGAACTGTCAGTGAACAATATACCGTATTTTATTATATGTAAGCCTCAGTGATTTCTTATGATGAAATACTTTCCAAAACAATGATTAACTTACTATCTTCATCCGTGATTACAACAATAGGTGCACTAGCATTTCCATCTCCCTTCACAGTAGAAGCAAACACTGTAATGCTGTAGTTGGTGTATTCATTGAGTCCCGTTAGATTTGCTTGAGTCATTGGAGCATCCACTACCTTGGGTTCTGGACTGCCATCAGGAAGCCCTTTGTAGGTAACTGTGTAACTCAGTATAATGCCATTTTGATCAGCTGGGAGAACTTCATCCCACTCAACCAAAATACTAGTAGAACTTGTGTTGTGTCCCTGGATGTTAGATGGAGGGGCATGTGGCTCTGAAAGAAAAAAAAAACCTTTACGGTCGAAAAATTGTACCAGACTTATCTACGGCTTAGAGTTCCACTACACTTAACGTTTTCCACAGCTATGAATGGAAATGTTGGCCAAAAATCAAAGCAACCAGTTGCAAAAGTACTTGGTACGCTGTACCGTATTTTGGTATAAATGGCCTGTCCATGATTTTGTGCTTGTGATCCCCCCTACAACCCTTATCAAAATTGCTAGCAATAGAAGACCATGCCCTAAACTTGGAGGAACAACTTTAAATGGGAGGAAGGAGGGAGGTCAGTATTATATCTCAAAGACCAGTGACCAGCAGCGATTTGAAGCAAGATAGGTCGTTTTTTCGTGGGAGTGTCTCAACATTATCTACCGATCCAAAACAAGGCTACGAAGCTACGGAACTGTCGGTAAACAATATACCGTATTTTACTATAATTAAGCGTCAACGATCTATTATAATGAAAAACTTTCCAAAACAAGGAGTAACTTACTATCTTCATCCGTGATTACAACAATAGGTCCACTAGCATTTCCATCTCCCTTCACAGTAGAGGCAAATACTGTAATGCTGTAGTTGGTGTATTCATCGAGTCCTGTTAGATTTGCTTGAGTTATTGGAGCATCCACTACCTTGCGTTCTGGACTGCCATCAGGAAGCCCTTTGTAGGTAACTGTGTAACTCAGTATAATGCCATTTTGATCAGCTGGGGGAACTTCACCCCACTCAACCAAAATACTAGTAGAACTTGTGTTGTGTCCCTGGATGTTAGATGGAGGGGCATGTGGCTCTGAAAGAAAAAAAAACCTTTACGGTCAAACATTATACCAGACTTAATCTAGGGCTTGGAGTTCCACTACACTTAACGTTTTCCACAGCTATGAATGGAAATGTTGGCCAAAAATCAAAGCAACCAGTTGCAAAAGTACTTGAGACACTGTAGAGGAATTTTGGCAAAAATGGCCTGTCCATGACTTTGTGCTTGTGATCCCCCCTCCAACCCTTATCAAAAATGCTAGCAATAAAAGACCATGCTCAAAACTTGGAGGAACAACTTTGAATGGGAGGGAGGAGGGAAGTCAGTATTAAACCTCACAGACCCGTAACCAGCAGCCATTTGAAGCAAGAAAGGTCGTTTTTTTATGGGAGTGTCTCAACATCACAAAACAAGACCTACCGATCGAAAACCACTCTACTCTGCTACGGAGCTGTCAGTAAACAATGTACCGTATTTTACTATATTTAAGCGTCAGCGATCTATTATGATAAAACACTTTCCAAAATAACGATTAACTTACTATCTTCATCCGTGATTACAACAATAGGTGCACTAGCATTTCCATCTCCCTTCACAGTAGAGGCAAACACTGTAATGCTGTAGTTGGTGTATTCATTGAGTCCTGTTAGATTTGCTTGAGTTACTTGAGCATCCACTACCTTGCTTTCTACACTGCCATCAGGAAGATCTTTGTAGGTAACTGTGTAACTCAGTATAATGCCATTTTGATCGGCTGGGGGAACTTCACCCCACTCAACCAAAACACTGGTAGAACTGGTGTTGTGTCCTTGGATGTTAGATGGAGGGGCATGTGGCTCTGAAAGAAAGGAAACCCTTTAAGGTGAAAAAAATTGTACCAGACTTAACTACGGCTTAGAGTGCTACTACATTTAACGTTTTACACTACTATGAATGGAAATGTTGAGCAAAAATCAAAGCAACCAGTTGAAAAAGTACTTGAGACACTGTACCGTATTTTGGCATAAAGGGGCTGCCATGATTTTGTGCTTGTGGTCCCCCTCTACCCCTTATCAAAGTTGCAAGCAATACAAGATCATGCTGAAAACTTGGAGGAACAACTTTGAATGGGAGGGAGGAGGGAGGTTAGTATTATATCTCACAGACCTGTGACAAGCAGTGATTTGAGGCAAGAGATGTCGTTTGTACGTGGGAGAGTCTCAACATCACATCACAAGACCTACCGATCCAAAACCACGCTACGGAGATACGGAAATGTCAGTGAACAATATACCGTATTTTACTATATTTTTGCGTCAGTGTTCTGTTATGATAAAATACTTTCCAAAACAACGATTAACTTACTATCTTCATCCGTGATTACAACAATAGGTCCACTAGCATTTCCATCTCCCTTCACAGTAGAAGCAAACACTGTAATGCTGTAGTTGGTGTATTCATTGAGTCCTGTTAGATTTGCTTGAGTTATTGGAGCATCCACTACCTTGGCTTGTGGACTGCCATCAGGAAGCTCTTTGTAGGTAACTGTGTAACTCAGTATAATGCCATTTTGATCAGCTGGTGGAACTTCACCCCACTCAACCAAAATACTGGTAGAACTGGTGTTGTGTCCCTGCATGTTAGATGGAGGGGCATGTGGCTCTGAAAGGAAAAAAAAACCTTTACGGTCAAAAAATTATACCAGACTTATCTACGACTTACAGTGCCACTACACTTAACGTTTTCCACAGCTATGAATGGAAATGTTGGGCAAATATCAAAGCAACCAGTTGCAAAAGTACTTGAGACACTGTACCGTATTTTAGCATGAATGGCCTGTCCATGATTTTGTTTCTTGTGATTTCCCCTCCACCCCTTATCAAAGTTGGTAGCAATAACAAGAGCATGATCAAAACTTGGAGGAACAACTTTGTATGGGAGGGAGGAGGGAGGTGAGTATTATATCTCACAGACCCGTGACCAGTAGCCATTTGAAGCAGGAAAGGTCGTTTTTTTATGGGAGTGTCTCATCATCACATAGCAAGACCTACCGATCCAACACTACGCTACGGAGCTAAGGAACTGTCAGTGAACAATGTACCGTATTTTACTATATTTAAGCGTCAGCGATCTGTTATGATGAAATACTTTCCAAAACAACGATTAACTTACTATCTTCATCCGTGATGACAACAATAGGTGCACTTGCATTTCCATCTCCCTTCACAGTAGAAGCAAACACTGTAATGCTGTAGTTGGTGTATTCATTGAGTCCGGTTAGATTTGCTTGAGTTATTGGAGCATCCACTACCTTGGCTTGTGGACTGCCATCAGGAAGCTCTTTGTAGGTAACTGTGTAACTCAGTATAATGCCATTTTGATCAGCTGGGGGAACTTCACCCCACTCAACCAAAATACTGGTAGAACTTGTGTTGTGTCCTTCGATGTTAGATGGAGGGGCATGTGGCTCTAAAAGAAAAGGAAACCTTTACAGTCAAAATATTTGTACCAGACTTATCTTTCCCTTAGAGTGCCACTGCACTTAACGTTTTCCACAGCTATGAATGGAAATGTTGGGCAAAAATCAAAGCAACCGGTTGCAAAAGTACTTGAGACACTGTACCGTATTTTGGCATAGATGGCCTGTCCATGATTTTGTGCTTGTGATCCCCCCTCCACCCCTTATCAAAGTTGCTAGCAATACAAGACCGTGCTGAAAACTTGGAGGAAGAACGTTGAATGGGGGGAAGAGGGAGGTCAGTGTTATATATGACAGACCCGTGACAAGCAGCGATTTGAGGCAAGAAAGGTCGTTTTTACTTGGGAGAGTCTCAACATCACATCACAAGACCTACCGATCCGAAACCACGCTACGGAGATACGGAACTGTCAGTGAACAATATACCGTATTTTACTATATTTTTGCGTCAGTGATCTGTTATGATGAAATACTTTCCAAAACAACGATTAACTTACTATCTTCATCCGTGATTACAACAATAGGTGCACTAGCATTTCCATCTCCTTTCACAGTAGAAGCAAACACTGTAATGCTGTAGTTGGTGTATTCATCGAGTCCTGTTAGATTTGCTTGAGTTATTGGAGCATCCACTACCTTGGCTTGTGGACTGCCATCAGGAAGCCCTTTATACGTAACTGTGTAACTCAGTATAATGCCATTTTGATCAGCTGGGGGAACTTCATCCCACTCAACCAAAATACTGGTAGAACTTGTGTTGTGTCCCCGGATTTTAGATGGAGGGGCATGTGGCTCTGAAAGATAAAAAACCTTTACGGTCAAAAATTTGTACCAGACTTTTGTACAGCTTAGAGTGCTACTACACTTAACGTTTTCCACAGCTATGAATGGAAATATTGGGCAAAAATCAAAGCAACCAGTTGCAAAAGTACCAGAGACACTCTACCGTATTTTGGCATAAATGGCCTGTCCACGATTTTGTGCTTGTGATCTCCCCTCCAACCCTCATTAAAGTTGCTAGCAATAGAAGACCATGCTCAAAACTTGGAGGAACAACTTTGAATGGGAGGGAGGAGGGAGGTGTGTATTATATCTCACAGACCCGTGACCAGCAGCCATTTGAAGCAAGAAAGGTCGTTTTTTATGGGAGTGTCTCATCATCACATAGCAAGACCTACCGATCCAAAACCACTCTACGCCGCTACGGAACTGTCAGTGAACAATGTACCGTATTTTACTATATTTAAGCGTCAGCGATCTGTTATGATGAAATACTTTCCAAAACAACGATTAACTTACTATCTTCATCCGTGATTACAACAATAGGTGCACTAGCATTTCCATCTCCCTTCACAGTAGAAGCAAACACTGTAATGCTGTAGTTGGTGTATTCATTGAGTCCTGTTAGATTTGCTTGAGTTATTGGAGCATCCACTACCTTGGCTTGTGGACTGCCATCAGGAAGCTCTTTGTAGGTAACTGTGTAACTCAGTATAATGCCATTTTGATCAGCTGGGGGAACTTCACCCCACTCAACCAAAATACTGGTAGAACTTGTGTTGTGTCCCTGGATGTTAGATGGAGGGGCATGTGGCTCTGAAAGAAAAAAAAACCTTTACGGTCAAAAATTTGTACCAGACTTTTGTACAGCTTAGAGTGCCACTACACTTAACGTTTTCCACAGCTATGAATGGAAATATTGGGCAAAAATCAAAGCAACCAGTTGCAAAAGTACCAGAGACACTCTACCGTATTTTGGCATAAATGGCCTGTCCACGATTTTGTGCTTGTGATCTCCCCTCCAACCCTCATTAAAGTTGCTAGCAATAGAAGACCATGCTCAAAACTTGGAGGAACAACTTTGAATGGGAGGGAGGAGGGAGGTGTGTATTATATCTCACAGACCCGTGACCAGCAGCCATTTGAAGCAAGTGATCTCTTATGATGAAATACTTTCTAAAACAACGATAAACTTACTATCTTCATCCGTGATTACAACAATAGGTGCACTAGCATTTCCATCTCCCTTCACAGTAGAGGCGAACACTGTAATGCTGTAGTTGGTGTATTCATTGAGTCCTGTTAGATTTGCTTGAGTTATTGGAGCATCCACTACCTTGGCTTGTGGACTGCCATCAGGAAGCTCTTTGTAGGTAACTGTGTAACTCAGTATAATGCCATTTTGATCAGCTGGGGGAACTTCACCCCACTCAACCAAAATACTGGTAGAACTTGTGTTGTGTCCCTGGATTTTAGATGGAGGGGCATGTGGCTCTGAAAGAAAAAAAAACCCTTACGGTCAAAAATTTGTACCAGACTTTTGTACAGCTTAGAGTGCCACTACACTTAACGTTTTCCACAGCTATGAATGGAAATATTGGGCAAAAATCAAAGCAACCAGTTGCAAAAGTACCAGAGACACTCTACCGTATTTTGGCATAAATGGCCTGTCCACGATTTTGTGCTTGTGATCTCCCCTCCAACCCTTATTAAAGTTGCTAGCAATAGAAGACCATGCTCAAAACTTGGAGGAACAACTTTGAATGGGAGGGAGGAGGGAGGTGTGTATTATATCTCACAGACCCGTGACCAGCAGCCATTTGAAGCAAGTGATCTCTTATGATGAAATACTTTCTAAAACAACGATAAACTTACTATCTTCATCCGTGATTACAACAATAGGTGCACTAGCATTTCCATCTCCCTTCACAGTAGAGGCGAACACTGTAATGCTGTAGTTGGTGTATTCATTGAGTCCTGTTAGATTTGCTTGAGTTATTGGAGCATCCACTACCTTGGCTTGTGGACTGCCATCAGGAGGCTCTTTGTAGGTAACTGTGTAACTCAGTATAATGCCATTTTGATCAGCTGGGGGAACTTCATCCCACTCAACCAAAATACTGGTAGAACTGGTGTTCCGACCTTGGACATCAGATGGTGGAGCATTTGGCTCTGGATAAACGGAAAGAAAAAAAAAAGAAAAGAAAACATTGTTTTAAGCAAGACTTTTACACACTCTTAGGCAATCAACACGGGACTAGAAGTCTAAAAGACTAAAGTCGTCCTCTTTAAAGGATGTATTGCAAATGTTATGACATACCCTTGAATGCGCAAAACATTTTGGTCTTTTGTAACGTAGAAACTTAGCCAAGGACTGAGAAAAGCTGAGCTCCTGTTGAAATACTTATAATGTACTTAACCTCGAAATCATTGCAGTAAAGAGCTCTATCTTGAAATTAGACTTAAGCACGTCCATTTAATTTTCCTTAACATTTCTGTCCAAGATTCTAGCTTTAATTTATTGGCCATTTTGTAGTTGCACGATACTGACTGGTGTTGTAATTAATTTCAATGTGGGTCCATGATAATCTTTTTGACCTAGTTTCCTGTGCGACCTCTCAGAACATGTAACAAATACCCAATTTGCCCCTCAACAAATTCATCGCGACATGTTGCACACTCGCTTGAAATTAAGGCATGCGCATGAGCAACTCATCACCTAAATTTACACCGAAATAAATAAAGAAATGGTGTGAAAGGTTTGAACCCAGGAGTCATTTCATAAGTAGGTTGAGTTTGATCGTCAGGGTGTACAGAACGTAGTCCTGAATAGGACTGTTGCTGTTGACAGTGAGTGACGTTTCGACAGCCTGTGCGCTAGCCATCTTCAGAGTCAAGGTGAGTTCTATAAAGTCAGTTGATGGTATTCAAATCTGGTTATTGACCTGGTTGGTCAATTAAGTCGCGATGTTATTGGTCGTCTGTCAGTGAAGCCGTGATGTTATTGGCTATGAAGAATCGTAATATCATTGGTGCGTTTCGATCCGTCTATCATCACAGTTAAACAGTCGTTTATTGTTAGTCAAATTGTCAGTTGTCCATTTGTTCTCTCGTGGTTAGTTTTGCTTGATTCCGTCAATAAGTCGTTTGTACGGTGCCGGTTACTGACTGCTATTCAGTGGCGTTGGTTCCAAGTCAATAAACCAGCTTTCTACACTGAGCCGTTGTATAGTAGTCTGTAGAATATGTAATACATGTCGCAGAGTCCCAGTCGATTAGAAGTTTCGTCTGTAAATGGTGCTCAGCAATGTGATTGTTGACATTACCATTTCTCGTCGCTCGTTTGTGTTCAGTCAGTCGCATGCTAAGGTTTCTGCCGGTTTTACCAATGTAAGTAGCCTGGCAGTGGCAGCATTTTTTTTTTCATCGCCTTTAACTTATTCCTCGGCGTGATCTCAGCGCGCACACAAGTTTTGAGTATGCTTACTTTACGAGCAATGTAAGAGCGACGAAATGACGAAACTTGGGTAGAAATCCTCTTCAAAAAGCATTTTAATCAATGAAAGCGTCAAAATAAACTATGAACAAAGGGGTTTTGTGACACAATCAAGTTTTTCAAGAAAGCAGTTTTCTTATAAATTTCAAAAACTGTTTGTTTCAATTTAGTTCATCTGTTTTTCAAAAAGTCGTTAATATTGAGTCACGTGTAAGGACCTTTATATCCGATAAAACTCTGTTAACCGGAAAGTCAGGGGAAGGATTTGAATTCAGCTTCAGGGGAAATATGGTAACGGTCAACAACCTATCAAACTGTGTTCAAACACATCAATGAAATACGTTAACAATAGAGACCTTTCTCAAATTCTGAAATGAAGCAAAGCAGAGGATTGGGTGGAGATGTTCATAAAATCACGTCATTATTTCACCACGTTTCTAGCTCTAATACACAAATTAAGACGTAAGTTTTGCTTATAATCAGTGCTGTTCAAAGAGTTAGCAAAGTTATTTCGTTGCTACGAACGATGTTTCTTACGGATTCCTTGGATCTCAGTTTCGTTCTATAAATACAGTGAATACTTTATTTTTTCCCCTAAAAATATGATATGGCATTATCGCTCTTTCTGTTAGCCTACACCTGTAGCTAGTTCCCCGAGGTAGGAGACATTCTGATCACTCAGAGTCATCCCTATAGCTGTGGCCTAGTAGCAGCTGCCATCTGTTTAAGCATGGCCTTGTTTTATGCCGAGGTTTCGTGCGGATATTTAGATTGGATAATAATAATAATAATAATAATTTTATTTATATAGCGCTAAAATCCAATAATTGTCCAATTATCATACCTCATCATCATACCTCAATTGAAAGGTGACCGGTCGTTTCGCTAATGTCCAGTTGGGTAAGAAACGAAACGAGCGATTCACATGTATATGCCTTGTTCTTTCAGTCGCAGACCAAACAAAAGAAGTACGAGTAGTGACCTAACACGTAAGTAAAATTACTTAAGACGTTACCGAACAGGGCGTTGGCGAAACGACCGGTAAATCAATTGAGAGACCCTATGTTCAACGCCAGACGAAGTTTACGATCAGTGGATGAAATTTTCCCGCTCCATACATCAGTAGAAATTTGGGTAATACTGCAAACCTACAAAAAGCGTCTGTGTCTAGCCCCATCAAAGCTGCAGCAGCAACCTGTGCAATGGTATACTTACTGTCTTCATTCGTTTGCACCGTGATTGGAGGTTCGCTCTTCTTTCCACCTCCTTTTGAAGTATTAGCGAACACCTCAATTGTATATTCTGTATTCTTTTTGAGTCCTGTAAGCGTTACTTCCCTCGTTGAAGCATTCACTACCTGTTTTTGTTGTGGATTGCCTTCAGGAGTTGCTTGGTAATTAACAGTGTAACTCAGTATAATTCCGTTTTTATCAGTATCTGGCACTTCGCCCCATTGTACCAAAATGCTGGTAGAACTCAGGTTGCGTGCCGAGACGTTGACTGGAGGAGCGCTTGGCCCTGACAAAGGTTTTAAGAAAATAATAAAGGAATTATTTGCATCACTCGGACAACCGCTGAACCGTCTTTGATTAAAAAATCTTGAGGCAAAAACCTGGCTTCCCCCTAGATTTTGCATTGAAAAGAGGGCATAGACTTGCACCAAGTCGACTCCTTTTTTATTGATCAGGGCCTAGTTGTTCAAAAGGTAGATAACGCTATCCAGTGGATAGTGCAATCGGTTTTCCTAATGACCTATCCGCTGGATAGTGATTTAACCGATGGTTAGTGCTATTTACCCTTTGAACAACTGGGCCCAGTACTACAGGGTAAAAATTTGTTAGTGACTCTAAAGCAAGCAAAGTGAGCTTTAATAAGGTTGCGACCCAAGCAAGCCACGAAGCCGTTTGGTACGTTACAAAACAAAACCGCGCGCTTTGTTAAATTCTTTTATTATTCATTCAAAATATTTCCCCAATTCTTATTGGTTAAAAGCACACGCATAATTCACCATACCCAGTTACTGATGACCAAATTTGGAAGAATTTTGTGTTTAACGAGGAAATGACGTCAAAAATGCCGCCCGCTACTAGTTAAGGCATCGCTACCGAGAAGACCCGGGGACGAGGTTGAGTTGTTTGGTTGTGAAAAAAAAATGGCGGACATTCCACTCGTTTCAAAAGTAAGAACTACAGCTGGAACTAGGCGAGATAACAGCTAAAAACATGGCAAAAACAGCAAGAAGAAAACTCGGAGGGCGACATCTGCTATTTGGAGAATATTTGCGGAGCTGGACAAACCTAAACGTACACTATCGAAGAAGAACTTAACATCGATGCAGGTAGGCATGTTTTAGCTATATTTTTAAACTAGGAATCATTTTGAATGAATAATAAAGCAATTAATGAATTCTGCTTTCGTAGGATATAAAGAATTAAGTAGATCTCGGAGGGTGTTATCCACCGAGGCCAAAGGCCGAGGTGGATAAAACCCTCCTCGATCTGCTCAATTCTTCATATCCTACTCAACCTCTTTCATTAATTGCTAAATAATATCTTCACAAAGTTGCCAAAGGAGGGAGAGCCTTACTCTGATAATTACTGGTCTGTTACGTAACACATTTAACTGAGCCAAGACATTTCAATTCTGTGGGGAAAGAACTGAGTCAAAGAAGCAATCAGGCCTCAGTTGTTCAAAAGCTGAATGGCACTATCCTCAAAAAAGATCACTATTCAGTGCATATGCATTAGGGAAACATATTGCACTATTCAGTGGATAGCGATTTATCTGGTGAATACTGTTAACAAACTTTTGAACATCTAGGGACTGGTCTACAGTCGGCATCACAGAATTCACATTAAGTAGGCCTTAGCAAAGAATAAGTGGAAGATTGAAAGATGAGGTTTCTTGTGTACCAAGTACTTATTTAAGTACTGTGCAAGTAGCAGGATGCAAAGAAAGTCAGTTTTACATCCTGCCGTTCGGGTAAGCTGTAGCTATACTAAGCATGCATTAGCCCACAAGTCATTTCAACTAGACACAAAACCCTTTTTAATTATCAGGATTGTAATTTGAATTTCCCCAGAAAACAGCATTAGGAACAAAAAATTAATCACTAGCCCGATAGCAAAATCCACTACATGTAGCCCTGGGCTATCGGACACGACTTTCTTTGCACGCTGAAGTAGTATTTTAGAGGAAAGACCTGTTTCTTCTAATTAGTTTATTTGGCTAATACGTACATGTAGTGCACTGATAGAGGGTAGTATTGAAAATATTAACTGCAGTCGAACCTCCATGTGCGACCACCTCCCATAAGTGACCGCCTATCCAAAACACCAAAACTTTCCCAGTCAAAGACTTACAGATGGAATCTCTAGTAAACAACCACCTCCTATAAGCGACTGTGACCACGTTTTGGGCATGAACGTTCAATGATTTTCCATTGTTTTTAACCTCTCGTAAGTGACCACTTCACACCTTCTCTAATCTCTATGTTCGCTGTGTGCATTATGCTACTCAGGATATAAGAAGAACTTAAGTAACAACATGGGACTACACATGGCATAACTTAGAAATTGCATGTAATAAATTTATCTTCCATAAAGCAGATGTGCCTGGGCCTCTTCTCGGAAGAGGCCCCCTGTGGTTTGATTCTTGTAAGCAACCACCTCCCGCAAGCGGACACTAAGTCTAAGTCTTTGCATTTTGGTTGGTTGTTACAGAAGGTTCAACTGTAGCAAGATATAGAAAGATTGAGATTGTAAATATCTTTTTCATTAATAATATAACTAAAATGGACATAGGATTATCATGGAGACAGTGAACAATGGGACAGACAGTTTTGCCTGGTAATTGTCGGGGTTCTCATTGAGTTTTGAAGAAGACAGCTAGAATGTTAAAGAGGGTGGCTTTGCAGTCAATCGATGAAGGCATTTTAAGGCTCTTGCTCTCTCACCATTCCCCATAGAGGAGGGGGCTCAATATCAAAAGTGACCAGTTTTTTTAGCTCATTGCTGATACTAATGAGAACCCTGCAATGTGCAATTCCAGTGGACTAGAGTTATAAATCCACCTCAAGATGAAGTGTTTCCCACCTCATAATTAGAAAAGAACTTTTAAAAGTGCTGATACACCATGTAAAATAAGGAACTAAATTGGCTACAGTACAAAAAAAAATTAATTAATGAACATCTGAGAATTGTACTCACTATCTTCGTCTGTAATGACAATGATAGGTTCACTTCTGTTACCACCCCCCTTGGCAGTAGATGCAAACACTGTGATGCTGTACTTGGTAAATTTTTTCAATGTTGTCAAAGTAGCGTTTCTTTTTGGAGCAATCACTACCACCTCATCTGTTGGACTACCATCAGGTGACTTGGTGTAGGTGACTGTATAGTTCACTATAAGGCCATTTTGATTGTCTGCTGGAACTTCATCCCACTGTACAAAAATGCTGGTAGAGGTTTCATTGTTTCCTCTGACATTACCTGGGGGAGCATTTGGTACTACAACAATGAAAAAAACACCAACATGACAACTTCAGAAAAAAATCATAGCATAGGCTTGGGTCGGGTCTGTGCAACCTGAATGTACTCTTCCATTGACCACATGGAATTTCCAAAATTTCAAACCGGAATTTTTGTTTGATGGAAAGCACCCTATGTGTGTTCCTTTAAAAAGTAAAATGTACTTTATATATAAGACGAAAGAGCAACAAATTTACATGTAAAATAAGAAAACTTATATTACAGAAACCTCATAAATACTAACCTGAAAAAAAAACACAACAAAACAAGACAAAAAAAAATGCCAACATTTTGCAACACTGCCACTGTTTTCTCTGCAGAATGCTGTCTGAGGAATTTATTATAACAAGCACAGAAACTCCATACTAATAACGTGTCACTATCCAGATCTGGCTAGTGCTTCAGTGATTGGCTGAAGCAAATTCCCTCAGGACACAGCCAATCAAAAGTACTACCCAGATCTGGATAGGGACCTTTCATAATTATGCATAGAATATCTGCAGTCATTTTGGGGGGAACTTAGTGGTGACAGGTGTTTCTTTTTTTTTTTTTCAGGCTAAAGAAACAGCAACAATTTTATGTAACAAGGTATACCTTCTTCATCTGTGGTAGTGGTGATTACTGAGCTAGCAGTACTGGTACCAACTTTGTTACTTGCAAACACCTTTAAGTAATATGTCCTTCCAGGATGTAGGCCTTCAAGAGAAGCATTGGTGAAGGAGCCAGAGACCACACAGCTACTACTTGACAGCCCTTGACATGTAACATTTGAAAATGTCCGATTATCTATACTGATCTGCACAGTGTAGTTAAGAATATCACTGTTACCATTGAAGCCAGGTGTCCAGAATATATTCACCACTCGTGAGGTCTTAGAGATAACTGTCACATTCTCTGGTGGGCCTGGCACCACTACAAAAAGAAAATAGTACTACAGCTATTAGGGATTGCAGAGTCTCCTATCATGACTACAACACCTATTTAAATACCCAACCCAAAATAAAACAAATGAAGACTGGCCAATCAGGGTGCAAAGAAAATCATTTTTACAGCTTGCCATTCGGGCAAGCTGAAGCTAGCATTCACTAGCCTAGACGCCATCTCAACTAGCCCAAAAAGCTTTTTGACAAGCAGAATTGATTGCACAGTTGTTCTGTTATTCGAATTCCTCAAAAAACATGGCTTGCCCGTCGGGCAAGTTAAAAACAGAATTCATTAGCCCGATAGCAAAATCCACTAGCCCTGGGCTATCGGACACTACTTCTTTGCACGCTGCCAATGCTTGAAACAGAACTTCCTTATTTGCAGCATACAGTATGGCTAACAATGAGAAAAAAATAAAAATAAATGGGTGCTACCTGAATCAACATTGGGGAGATCATAATGTGACATGTGTTTCAAAAAATGTGGACAATGTGTATTGCAGCTTGTGACTTTGACACCAAACATTTGGGTGGTATCATTAATTCATAATAAATATAAAGGTCAATTGAAACCTTATATAACATCTTTGATGCAGAGATTTTGTTACAAATTAAGTTATGGTGAGTCCAAAAGACTCAACTTGTGAAAATCAAACAGGATATTCTACAAAAACATCTTCATACCAATCGTTCGATCTTTGTGTCCTATGGCAGCAATCAATTATTTTGTATCTTTGGCGATTTTTATGCATCAGGGATGCAGGATGCAGAAGTAACAAAATCACTTTGATGAAGTTCCAGCAATTGTAAGGGTTCCAGAAAATATCCATACAACCCCCACAGAAGGGATTTGCTGCATAACCCTCCCCCCCCCCTTCCCCTCTGGATTTTCCAAAAAAGACCCCCAAAATGTAAACCCCTCCTTCCCCTCAAGAATTTCCCAAATTTTCACACACCCCCTGGAATTATTGCTATCTCTTATTGAAGTGAACAAATAAGTAGTTTTGTTCATTACTGCAGATTTTGTGCGTTTTATGTATTTTCTGTTAAATTCTATAACAGATAAGTGAATTCCTTATGTGCTCAAGTCATGAAGAAATTGTTGAACAATTCTTAGCCACACACAAATGAAATGTGTGTGAAATATACCTGTACTTTTTTCTCACTGCATCAAGAAGAAAGCATCACTTGAAGAAGTATAAACAAAGAGATTGGGACATTGTCACGCAATTTTTNAAAAACAACACAAGACAATTCTTTTTTTGAACCGAAAAGTCCAAGCCGTTCAAATGAAACCCCCATTTGTTCAAAAAAAACAGAAACGAAAACCCCCTGGAAAAATTCCCTTTGGTGCCCCCCCCCCCCCCCTGAAAATTTAAGCAAATTGACCCCCCCCCCCCCGGAAAATCCGATCCCTTCCGTGGGGATGGTATGGATATTTTCTGGAACCACACATTTGAACAAAGTATTCAAACTTGTTTCAAATTGTTGCTCATGTCTTGGAATTTGTTTGCTATTGTCAGAACAGACAAAGAACCTTTTTGGTAAATAAATAAATTGTTGTAACTAACCTTGTATTCTAACTGATGCAGTAGCAGATGAATTATCAATTCTGTTTATAACAACACAGGTATAATTCCCAGAGTCAGTTGAATTACTTGAGGCAATTGTTAACTGTACTGTGCTGTCATTGAAATGAGTAATATTCCTTCTTGCTCCAACCATTACAGAACCATTCGTGGATATCACAATTCCATCTTTTTCCCAACTCACTTCTGATACTGGAGGTGATGTGTTATAATGACAAGTCAGTTGTATTTCATTTCCCACCACCACCAACTGTTGTGCCCCACCATCAATTGTTACTTCCGGAGCAACTGTGATAAAAAAAAATGTTGGACTCGGTAACATGTTCCATCTTATTAATACAATTAGGAATGCTAGAATGTTAACTTTTAATTTATAGCTCTAAAAGTCAAAGCCTCAGAAGACTGTTTTAACAAAAAACAGCTTCATTTCAGTGACATGATAAATATACATGTATACCCTTAATATACTTTCTTGAATTTTAGTTTCTTTTTCAATTAATTTTCTCCTTGGTAAAGGTGTTTTTACAAAAAGATCCACAAAACTAACGGGTACACGTAGCTGATATATTTCCATCATTGCATGTAAGGCCCAAGGCTGTGCTCTAGCAGAGCTTAGTGGCCCCTGGCGCCTTATAACTTTTGCCCTCAGGCGACTAGAAAATCTTAGATTTTTCATACAAATCATATGCTGGGCACCCTAGATTTTACAGTTTCAGAGCACTGGGCTCCCTTCAATTTTCCTTAGAGCACAGCCTTGAAGGCCTAATCGTGATATTGATGCTGCATGTAATAGATATTCACAGCATGAATTCAACAAAGGCCTGCCAATGTTTTAATGCTTTATAGTCAAGAACAGACCAACAAGTTAGTATAAAACATTAACGAAAATGTTACCAAAAATGTGAAGTACAGGGAATACCATTTGAATATACATAAGCTTATCATTATATGTAAGCAAAATAAGACTTATATGAACAAAATATCAATACTATCAAAGTTAGAGAGTTAAAATATATGAAGAATTAACTACTGTTGCAAAACTTCAACTGAACAAAGTTTCCTTTTCAGCTTTATAACCGAATCAAAGGCCAAGAGGAAGAAAATTTAATAACAAGCGCTAAATAGTTTTAAAATACTCAGAATACTTTGATTTATAATTAAAACATTAATTGATCATACATTCTGGAAGCTTTAATACATGCATGACAGTGCACCTGTGTACAACGAAAGCAAAGTTGACTTGTACGTAACTCGATTATCTCTTTATAAGCAATAAAATTATTATATAAGAAATGCAGTTTCTCTGTAACAAAAATTTGGGAAAGATATGGTGTAGCGCGGTCTTGAAAGCGCTTACCTCCAACAACGATATCAGAATAGAGTTACACCGTGAGAATTCTTATAATAGACCGACGAAGAGTCGTTTCAGCTTACTTATGTGTCGTACTTTTCGGAACATAATGTGCGGAAAATTTTAAAAAATCTATATATCTACTACAAAAGGATGAGAGTTTAAGATATAAACGACATGATTCAAAGGGTGAAGTATATAAAAGCGAGAAACCCGACTGTAAATACACAATCGTAAAATTATTTCCGCTTTGTGAATTCAACGAATAAATACTAAAAACATTTGGTTTCAAAATCGAAAAGAGTTATTACCTGCACTAATAACGGGCGAATGGAATACCAACAGCAGAAAGAGAGAAAACCAAAAAGACGAATGATATTTTAGGACGATTCTTCCTGCAAGGCGTTCGTCCATATTTTGAAAGCATAAACTTGACGGAGCTGAAATGTTTCCTCTCCCCTCCCCTGAGCGGAAATCGAAAGCGAGGGTGGCAATTGGCAAAGTACTTTGTGAGGTCACGACTCAAAATAAACCGCACATTTCCATAGTTAATCGCCCTTAAGAATGTTAAGATTTGTCGAAAATTCGTAACTTCGAGGCTATTTACGTTCATTTCTAAACTTCTTGAGTTCAATTGAAAAAAACGACTTAGGAATTAAAGGATGCAATCGATAAAAAGCGACTAAATCGGCTCAAGTTGTCGGTGCAACACACAAGGAAATATCACGAAGAGATAGTTCGAGACAATTTCTTGACGTCACGCATTTCCTTTCTTAAAACACGGTAAAAGTCAAAACAATGGCATATATATCAACAACTTAAGTTATGTTTAATAAAATAACAATAGTTTTACTTTTCTAAGGTTTAGTATCATGCTGTTTTATTATTACTATTTTACATGTTTTGGCGTAGAACTAACACGCGATAACCTTTTTATTGAAGGTGAGGACCCGACCATTATAAAGCCGGATTAACCTTTCTTCACACAAAAACAGATCGGAAGTTCTAAAAATGGAGTTTTCAAACCATTTTTGGTAAGGAACTTGTGTCTTATGAGTGTTAGTTTCAGCCTTGGAAAGGACAGGATGGCTTTCGCGGTCTTCCACCGACTACAAATATGGCCAACAGGGAAGAACCGGAATCGGTTCTTTATACTTGGCATTTTTTTGCTTTTCCTTTCTTCTTATTATTGTTTGTTCATATTTTCAAAATAATTAATTAATCTCCGTTGGAAGAAAAATTAAATCAGTTTTGCCTCTATTACATCCGGTAATAATCAATAACTAAAAAGAGCTCAAGAGATGTCGAACCTTTGAAAAGTTTGCATAACTTTAAAGGAAACCGAAAAAAAGCTTTTGCTAATCACACCTTGGTGTTAATGACCGATTTGTCGGAATAGACGGATTATGGTAGGATAATCCGTCTCAATAGGGATTTTACGCGGCAGCGACGACGACGTCAGTGAAAACATCACTAGTAAAAAGTATTTGCGTTGTTTTAAAAACTTCATCGCGATTGTCACAACCCATTTGACATTTTGACTCAGATGTACGCGAATTTTCGTGGAGGTTAAATTACAAGAAACCGCATTCAAAATAAATAAAAAGGCAGAAAAATTCTTCGCATGTCCTACATAACGTGAAATTGGGTAATTTCACGTCGTTTTTCAAGGATAAACGAGACGGTCCTCATTTTAACCGAAAAAAAAATCGTGATTTTATCCGTCTGTCTGTCTGTATGTTGGTCTGTATTGTTTCCGCTTTCCTTCTTGTGCCTTCTTTGTACGTAACAAGTCCGACTACTACTTATTGTGGCTTTCCTATTCTTTCTCTGCCGGCTTCTATGGAATTAATGGTCGTGAGTATTTTCATCTCTTTTAATTATAGGGTATCACGAGTCGGCGAATGATCAGGTTTACGAAAAGGAAAAATCGTCTGTGATCTTGATACCGCTATAGCTTTATATGGAACGTTATTGCATTCAGTTATGTATAGATGGTTAGTGTATTGAACAATTAGCATTTATATAGCTGGTTCAATTAAGATTGCTTTGAGCAGTAGGAATAGCCCACGTTCGATATATTAAAATTCTAACATGACACCGAGGCTTTCTGGTCATTTTTCTATATTTGGTTTGATCTTTTTCGTGCTCAAGTCTCTTATTGGAATTGTGAGACAATAAGGTCGTGAAAAATTTGCAATGTGTCCCTGAGGCCTCGGGGTCATGTTATAATTTTAATATATTGAACGTGTGCTATTAATGGGCATTGGGAAGCTAGTGTTTGGTGTTTACTCAAGAAAATCATTGCATTGTTCTATATGCCCAAATACCAATGACCAATGGAACCTTTTTTGATTTAGCTGTATATAACCCATCCTCGGAAACCCAGGGGCAGTCAGTCGACTGACTGCCCCTAGGTCTCCGAGGATGTATATGGCCTCAGGATTACATTTAGTGGTGCAACCGAACTCCGGTGAGCAAACTTCGCATAAACCAATAGAGAATAGGCCTTTTTCCGATCCGGCCTGGTTTGACTGACATTTTGCCTCATGCAAGGGAATCCAAGACAGTCTTGGATTCTGGATTCCATGCCATGGATTCCGGATTCTAGGTACTTGATTCCAATCCTTAGTAGGATTCCGGATTCTTTGAGCTGTATTCTGGATTCCAAAGCTCAGGATACCGGATTCCACGAGCAAAAATTGTACGGATTCCGGAATCCGGATTCCTTTACATGGGTTGAGACATTATTGTCGATGCAATAAGTGGTACTTACAATGCACTGAGAGTGACCCCGCCTCCGAAGTTGCAGAACCAATGCTGTTGTTTGCCACACATCTGTATTGCCCTTCATCTGACCGATGAACATTCTGTATTGTTAAAGAGTGAACTTTTCCTGAGTTTGATTCGCTTAGATCTGAATCTGCTGTGATGTTAAGAGTCACGTTGTCTTTTGTCCAGTCAATGCTGGGTTCAGGGTTTCCATCTACAGTGCAGTTAAAGATAGCAGTCCCTCCCTCTACTTTCACGGTATTGTCAGGATGTTTGGTGAACCCAGGCGCATCTGGAAGGGAAAAAGTACAAGGCTACTAATCAGGACAAGATTTCTGAGTAGAATGTTCATAACTACTGTTTGATAAATGAAAAAGTCTGTGGGTGTGAATTTAGTCGATGGCGCAAACTTTGTAAACAGCTTGGACAGTTTCCTTAGTCAATTCTCTTGCCAGGTCTTGATATTTATCAATTTATCAATTTTCTCCTCCGCCTTCAGTTCTAGTTGGGTGACAAAATACAGCCGGATTTGTATGAAATCATCCACCAATTCCAATTCCAATCCAATTCCCCGTCACGCTATGATAGCAAAGATAGCGGAGATTATGTGAACCGTCTAATTGGTCTAACTCTATCCAAGTACTTCAGTAATGATCCTCCTAATAAATATTGGATATCTCAGTCGTAAAACTTAATATTTAGCTATCCGGCATGCTGAATAATCAGGCAAAAGTATCCTTACATTGTACATTTAATGTGGAAGAGTTGGATTGAACTTTGTTAACATTGTTCGTAGCCACACAGATATATTCTCCGCTGTCTCCTCTGATCACATTTGTTATAGTCAACGTCTTGTTATTTTCGTTAAAAGTGATTCTTGAAGTTGTATTCACAACAGAACCATCTTTCGTCCATGAGAATGTGGGTGAAGGATTGCCAACTGCATTACAGGTAAAAGTCACATTCTCCCCTTCTTTCTTTGTCTTATTTTGTAGATGCCTATCGAACTCAGGCTGATCTGTAATTAGAAGGCATGCGATTGAAGCAGAAAATAAGAGAAAATAGCAAACGCTAAGTAAGTCTTAAATGGTCTTAAAATGACTTTTGTGCACCTTAAGGCGCAGATAACTAGATCACTTAGGATATCACAGTAATGCGAAAAAGCATCCGTGCAACGGGGAGTTAGAGTAAGATATAAAACATTTCGTGTTAGCAGAGCACGACAATTTGTCGCTGAGCAATCTGTATACGCGGGGAAAGGGGGCGACTCCCTATAATGGCCTGTACGGCGACGCTACTCCCGAAAGGGGTACCTTTTTCAGGCTTCACGTACATAACACGGGGAGAGGAGTTCACTATTTAAAGCGTATGAAGGGGTTGGAAAATCTGTCAGTGCGGTCTGTGAAAGGACCTGAAAGGGCTAATCGGCGCATTTATGGTCGAAGATTGCCTGGTTTAGTGATCTATTCATATTTAAGAAGGCGGTGCATTAACAGCAGGAAAAATGGACGCAGCGTTCTAAACTAGTGTGTGAAAGGGGAACAATATACAATATCAATACTGATGTGATGAGTAACCGGTTAACCACGAAAATTCACTCGATGTATGCTCTGGGCAGCGTGACTCAGTTCATGTTATCAGTTTAGAGCTAGCAGTATTTACCAACAAGTGATAATATATCCAGTCAGCATACTGGGGTTATCACTTGAGAGCGAAACGCAAGAATTTGTCGCCGTCTGCTTGCGCACTAAGTGAACTTTCACTTCTTCATGCATGGGAATTTGTAACAGTACTGCACACGTAAGTGAGCAATGGTATCCTTAGCCTGCGCAGTCCAGTGTAATCAAATAATAATTTTTACAAAAGCAACTAACAAATAATCAAGTTAAGACCATGCTCCGATCGCAGCCAAGTGACCCGATATAAAGTAGTAAGCCGCGAGTAACCACACTAGGACTCCTTTTACCTGTCATATCATAATCAAATGGACACGACGTGTACTCACATTGTACATCTAGGGTAACAGCACCAGAAGTAACATTCCCCTCACTGTTGTTTGCTACACATCGATAATCTCCGCTGTCAGCTCTGTTAATACTCGTTATCGTCAACTCTCTACTTTCTGCTTCAAAACTAATCCGGGCAACACTGCTAGTTAATACGGAACCATTTCTTGTCCATGTTATTGTCGGTACAGGATTACCACTGGCGTTACAAAATAAAGTCACGTTTTGGCCTTCAATTACTGGTCCACCCTGAGGTTGTGTTGCGATCTGAGGTGCAACTATAATTAGAAAACAAACTATTAAATCAATACATGTAGGTGCAACTACAGACAGAGACAAACTATTTAACAGCTTAAGTTATAAAGTCCCTTTGAAGTCCAACTACAACCCCGGACAAAACCTGTTGAGACAAATCGCGAAAATGCCTGTTTTTTCCTGTCATCCCGGCAAAAACTGAAACCTCCGCCAAATGAATGCCCGATTCCCCCCCTCCCCTTATCCAAAGTTGTTTAGGATAGCATGGCAATTATACACGTTGGTTTTTAGACCAAGACAACTTTGAATAGGGAGCGGGGAGGGGGTTTACTTTTTGTGTTTAGGGGAGACGGGAGTAGGGTGCAAAAGTTAGAAAATAGATGGAAATGTCTCAACAGTTTTGTCCGGGGTTGTAGCTTTATCGAACCACGTTAAGCAACTGAGTGACGAGTTTCAAGTTCAAGTTTCAAGTTTATTAAGACGTGACTTGTTAACCACAGTGCTTTTTTGATAAACAAAAGTTTACTTACACAGTACTTTCAGTATAGCAGCAGTAGAGAGAACATTTCCTAAATCGTTGGTAGCGTTACAGAAGTACTGCCCTTGGTCCGCGCTGTTCACGTTCGTTATAGTCAATTTATTGGACGATACAGTAATTCTCGAATTCGCATTCACAACTAAACCGTCTTTGATCCACGAGAATGAAGGTGCAGGATTTCCACCTGCATCACATGTGAAAGTTACATTCTCCCCTTCTTTCCTTGTCGCAGATTGCGGAGGTGTTGTGATCTCAGGCTGAACTGCAGTTATAAGAAATTATTATGTTGTTAACCAAAAAGTTAAACTTGATAGGATTGTGTAGAGACTTAAACAGAACCTAGCGGATCTCAGCCTAAGGATACAGTTAAAACTCGACAAAAACCTGCATTTTCCCAAAGTTTCCTGAACAGAATCCTACATCAATGGTTATTGGCACAAATTCATGCTATTTGCATGGAGGTTCGTGTTAGTGAAAAAAAAAATGAGGTGGTCACGTTTCACACTATCACTTGCTTATGTGAGTCGTGTTTAGCCTGTCAACACTTTATTTCAAAGTCAATTTTCTTTGTGAACCTAATGACGATTTGCTGTTTCTCGATTCCAATTCCAACCCATTCCCCACGCGCAAGTTCAGCTCATGATAGCAAAGAGAGCAGAGATTATGTGAACCGTCTAATTGGTCGAAATCTATCCAAGTACTTCAATAATGATCCTCCTAATAAATATTGGATACCTCAGTAGTACTACTTTATATTTAACTACCCAGCATGCTGAATAATCAAGCAAAAGTATCCTTACATTGTACATTTAATGTGGAAGGGTTAGATTGAACTGTGTTAACATTGTTCGTAGCCACACAGATGTATTCTCCGCTGTCTCCTTTGATCACATTCGTTATGGTCAACGTCTTATTATTTTCGTTAAAAGTGATTCTTGAAGTCGTATTCACAACAGAACCGTCTCTCGTCCATGAGAATGTGGGTGCAGGATTGCCAACTGCATTACAGGTAAAAGTCACATTCTCCCCTTCTTTCTTTGTCTTATTTTGTGGATGCGTATTAAACTCAGGCTGATCTGTAATTAGAAGGCAATGCGATTGAAGTAGAAAATAAGGGAGAATAGCAAACGCTGAATGAGTCTTAAATAGTCTTATAATGACTTTTGGGCGCCTCAAGGTGCAGATAACTTGACTACTTAGGATATCATTGTAAAGCGAAAAAGCATCTGTGCACCGGGAAGTTAGAGTAACTTTTAAAACATTTCGTGATAGCAGAGCATGACAATTTGTCGCTGAGCAATCTGTGCACACAGACAACGGGGCGACTCCCTCTAGTGATGGTCTACACGGGGAGGCCCCTCCCGAAAGGGTACCTTTTTCAGGCTTCAAGTACATAAAAGGGGGTAAGGATTTCACTATTTAAAGCGTATGAAAGGGTTGGAAAATCTGTCAGTGCGGTCTGTGAAAGGACCTCAAAGGGCTAATCGGCGCATTAATGGCCGAAGACTGCCTGGTTAGTGATTTATTCATATTTAAAAAGGCGGTGCATTAACAGCAGTGAAAATAGATGCAGTGTTCTAAACTAGTGTGTGAAAGGGGAACAATTTACAGTATCAATACTGATGTGATGAGTAACGTTAGCCACGAACGTTCTCGATGTATGCTCTGGGAAGCGTAACTCAGTTCATGTTATCAGTTAAGAGCTAGCGTTATTAAGCAATAAGAAATAGTGTCTCCCGTCAGCGTATTGGTGTTATCACTTGAGAGCGAAACGCGATAACTTGTCGCCGTCTGCTTGTGCACTAAGTGAACTTGCAGTTCTTCATGCATGGGAATTTGTAACAGTACTGCACACGTAAGTGAGCAATGGTATCCTTAGCCTGCGCAGTCCAGTGTAATCAAATAATAATTTTTACAATAGTAACTAACAAATAATCAAGTTAAGACCATGCTCCGATCGCAGCCAAGTGACCCGATATAAAGTAGTAAGCCGCGAGTAACCACACTAGCACTCCTTTTACCTGTCATATCATAATCAAATGGACACGACGTGTACTCACATTGTACGTCTAGGGTAACAGCACCAGAAGTAACATTCCCCTCACTGTTGTTTGCTACACATCGATATTCTCCGCTGTCAGCTCTGTTAATATTCGTTATCGTCAACTCTCTACTTTCTGCTCCAAAACTAATCCGGGCAACATTGCTAGTTAATACGGAACCATTTCTTGTCCATGTTATTGTCGGTACAGGATTACCACTGGCGTTACAAAATAACGTCACGTTTTGGCCTTCAATTACTGGTCCACCCTGAGGTTGTGTTGCGATCTGAGGTGCAACTATAATTAGAAAACAAACTATTAAATCAACACATGTAGGTGCAACTACAGACAGAGACAAACTATTTAACAGCTTAAGTTTTAAAGTCCCTTTGAAGTCCAACTAGCTTTATCGAACCACGTTAAGCAACTGAGTGACGTGACTTGTTAACTGCAGTGCTTTTTTGATAAACAAAAGTTTACTTACACAGTACTTTCAGTATAGCAGCAGTAGAGAGAACATTTCCTAAATCGTTGGTAGCGTTACAGAAGTACTGCCCTTGGTCCGCCAAGGTCACATTCGTTATAGTCAATTTATTGGACGATACAGTAATTCTCGAATTCGCATTCACAACTAAACCGTCTTTGATCCACGAGAATGAAGGTGCAGGATTTCCATCTGCATCACATGTGAAAGTTACATTCTCCCCTTCTTTCCTTGTCGCAGATTGCGGAGGTGTTGTGATCTCAGGCTGAACTGCAGTTATAAGAAATTATTATTTTGTTAACCAAAAAGTTAAACTTGATAGGATTGTGTAGAGACTTAAACAGAACCTAGCGGATCTCAGCTTAAGGATACACTAAAAACTCGACTAAAAACCTGCATTTTCCCAAAGTTTCCTGAACAGAATCCTACATCAATGGTTATTGGCACAAATTCATGCTATTTGCATGGAGGTTCGTGTTAGTGAAAAAAAAATGAGGTGGTCACGTTTCACACTATCACTTGCTTATGTGAGTCGTGTTTAGCCTGTCAACACTTTATTTCAAAGTCAATTTTCTTTGTGAACCTAATGACGATTTGCTGTTTCTCGATTCCAA